TATTCTTTGGAAGGAGAAGCTTTGATTGTACAAAGTGGTTTTAAATCGCAAGAAATTTCAAATTTTTCATTTTTTAATGAAAATGTTCGTGCAATAGTATACTTCATAGTTTTTATGTATAGGAAATACGTAACAGGCGAATTAGACAAATTTGAATGGTGTTGGTGCGTGTTGATAAGCTATGTGCAAATACTATTGTGATGCTTTCTTTTATTAATGTCACAGCCTTTTTTTTTTTTCTTATATATACTTTTGTTATTGTCATGAATGCTGCTGAAATCGAGTGTTTCTTGTTGTTTTTTGTTGGTGTTAAAGAAAAGCAAATATTGATTCATGAAGAAATATGTTCTCGCTGCTTCTGGGTGCTATGTCCATGTAAAAGTGAATGAATCGAGCCGTCTTGAAGAGACTCCCCACCTCCCCAAAAAAAATAAAGACAATCACTTTGTTTTTATTACACCTATTTTTTTTGAAAGATCATTTTTCTATCAGAAACACAAAAAAAAAACTTTCAATGTGTGCCTCGAAAGCAATTTAATAATGCCTATATGTTATTTTACCTTTTCTTGTTATAGTCCGAATACGTCCATGTACTTTCAAATATTTAATGGCAATTTCATATAGATTAATTACTTTTTACGTATTTTTTCTCGAAACTATGATGTCATATATGGAAAACTGGATGATCCACTTGATGGTTTTAAAATAATATTAAATTTCCGAGTAGTTTATTTTGTACACTTCTTGCATTCAAATTTATCAAAGAGTTACAATTAATTCTAAACATGCTTTTTATTAATATGGATGATTTTAAATGTTTTTTTTCTTACACATATTTCTCTCATATTAAACATGAAAATGTAAAAAGTGACGAACATTCTAGAACAATGGTAAATCAAACTTGTTAACTATTTCCTAATAATTGTTTTGATTATATACTCAAAATTTGAAAAGATTCATAACATTTATGATAGTCATTGATTTTCTCGTTGATTTACATCAATAGATTGTAATTGTTTATTTAAATGAAATTCAAGTTTTTGTTTTTGCATATTTATATTAATATGTATTGAAATACGAAGGACAAATATGTTTTTTTTTAAAATAAATTAACAGAAGAACAAGCACAAAAGAAATAACAAACAACCAGAGAAAAAAAACTATGATGATAAAAGTATGACATTAAAAGATCTTTCTGATATAAAGTGTTATTCTGTACATTAAACACGACATAAATGGATGACGTAAAAAAAAAGAAAAAAAAAAACCAAATGAAGATGATAACAATGCCATATAATTCTTGTCAAACAATCTCAATGTCGATCCTAGAAAATAGAAACAACACATTTAGACATTTTTTGTTATTGATTCCAAAAATATATAGATATATCATGATAAAACCCATAACCAAATAGTAAACTCAAACCATAAACCGTTTAATATAGAGTATATGCTTTTCTTTACCCAGTTTTTTTTCTTTTTTAATATTTTATTTTCTCTATAAAAAAATATTTATATTATATATTTGATTATAATTAAAAGAAATATATATATTTTTTTTTCATTCATTCATTTTCTTACCTGTATGCTAGACATAACACTATTAGCTAACGATGATAATCGACCAGCTGCTTTGGAAACACCGTCTTTAAAATCTGCTTTCATTGTTGCTAAATCTGGACCATTATAACTTGAACGATCTTGAGATTTTTTATTTGGATCAGCAAAATATTCTTCACTTGAAATACTTGTATTACCTTGAAAACGTGATGTTACATTATTTCGATCATTCTAGAAAAGAAATATTGATTGATTTGCATAGAAAAATATTTGTTTGTTTGCTTCTTTTTTTTTTTTACATACATCGGAATCTTTATTAAAAAATTGATCACTTGATATTGCTTTAGCATTGGTAAAACGTTTTTGAGCATCGCCATCACTTGTTCCACTAGCATAAGATGTTGATGTTTTTGATGATGAACTAATCGAAATGAAAATAACAATATTCGTTTTTTGATTAAAATCTTTTCTTTACCTATAACCACCACTATTAGCAGTAGAACTACCATAATTTGAAGAAAATGTATTACTAGTATCATTTGAACCGAAATCTTTTGTTGGAGTTTTACGATCAATAACTTCCCATTCAGAACTAAATGTATCCGTATTTTTTGATGAAGTTTTCGGTTTGAATAGATCATCATCCAATCTAAATTAAGGAAACAAAACAAGAAAGTGATTGTTAAAAAAACAAATCGATTCTATAGTTATTATAATTTCTAATTTGATTAGTACAGTTGTTTCAATTTCTGAACGATTCATCAAGTAACACTTATTGAGATGAAAAACAAAAAACAAACTATCAAAAGATTTGATATTGATAGGTTTTCGATTTTTGAAAAACGTTATGAATGTTTACTTAAACCAAGAAATTCGAATGCTTCATCTTTCTTCACTTAAAGATTTCTTCCTCACAATAGATTTATCATTTAGAATGGTTCATTTTCATGAATGAGTGATCCTAGTGTGAGAAACATTTCTGATAAAAATTTTCGTCCGATACGTCAAAGTAGAACGCACTTCCGGCTTATTTATACTTTATTTATGACTTCCAGTAAAATCCCTAGAAATTCGTCATTACAAAGGATACAGTGCTTGAAGTAATTTCAATTTAAAGCAAATTCCTGTGTCCAGTTTTTCTCCGAACAGAATTTCGAAATTTGCTTCTATTCATTTTTTCTTGATTGTTCTAGTATATATGATGTTAAAATCAGCAAAAAAACATATTTTACTTTATAACACTAAATCTCGCTTTTCTCAACACATATGTTAACTATAAAAATATCTAGTAGGACAAAAGTTTAATCCAAAAAAACATTAAAATGACATATTCATCATATACTTAAGCGGAATTTTTAAAAGCACGTAACAGACAGCGCTATCGTACTTAAATTATATACGAGTGTTCACTCAATGCTGGTACAAATAAAAAGGTAGTCTTCCCAAATTTAAAAGACTTCAATAGAAACTGCGAAAATTTCTCGGAAAAAACGGTATTAAGATGGAAATTTCTGTCAAAAGTCTGTTAAAATTTGATCGTTTTTCGAAAAGTCATATATATTCACAGAGAGAAACACTTCGTTGCATCTTCTTATCATAAAAACGTCACTTCTCTTACTCTTCTCCATCTATTGAATAACAGACAAGATCTTCAATTCTATGGAAATATATCTATGTGACTCGAAATTACCTAAGAGTTAGTTAAGATTAAAAAAAGCTTGCAACTTTTTTTTTAAGAACAATGTTTCAAACCAAATGAAGACTTCTATTCTCTCATGTGCTATTACAATTGTTACCTTCAGGAAAAGCGACAATTAGTCGCATGTTCGATGAAAGTGTAATTCTTTTTCACGTCTCACAAATCTGAATTTACACACATGTGAAACATGAAGGTGTACTCTATAGAATGGATAAATAGAGAATCTCGCTGAAAAACGGTAACTAAATGTCAATATTCACCTTTTGGATTGATCAATATGTTACGAAAAGGTTAAAACAATATCTATTTTGAAATCATGAAAGTCTCACAATAAATAACAACTACATCGATTATGGAAAATTTCTAAGCAACTATTACTCGCTCTCATATAACGCTTCTTGCACAACTAGTAGGTTTTACTAGACATTCATATTTATACAAGAAATGTCCATCAGATTCACCATGATTCTGACTGTTCGACTTTTAGACACTCAAATCGAATGGAAATCCATGCAATTTTACAATCTCTCTAGAAAAAAGCTGTCGCTACCACCGTCACGCTGGTGACAGCGTTGCCATAGACATCTCTGATTTATGTTCATATCTAGTGTTTGTTGTCCTCAAATACATTGTTAGTTATTTTCTTGGCTTCTATGAATTATTTATCTATAATACTAATAAAATTTGTTGACAATTTTAGCTTCTCGTATTGCTACGAATTCCGTACGGCAACTATTTGTTATAATGCTCAATTGTCATAGACTCTTACTTTCATTTCCTCTACTATATAATTTTTTTTAAAGTTCTAAGAACAATTTGAATAAACATATCACCTAATTCCTTTTATGTGTATCAGTAAATAAAAATGTTAGAAAAAGCGCATGCATATTTAATATCACAGAAACTTTAGTACTCTCTAGAACTCTCAACATATTGATCAATATCTACTGTTGATAACCTATCATAATTAGAGAATAAATTAAATGGAAATTGTTTTTTTTTTTGATGAAAATATGAAATAAAATTCATACTTTGATCGACTACTAAAGCCAGATGTATTATAATCATCAAAAAAATCTCGATTTTTTGTTGCCAGTGAAACATTTCGTGTTG